ACTTCTTGTGGGGTTACTTAAAGAACCAAATTTACAAGCGAAGGTACGATAACCTTGACGCGTTAAAGACTGCAGTTAGGGAAAAGATAACCCAGATAGATGGTAGGACCATACTTAAGACAGTTCGAGCAGTTGAAAAACGTGCCCAAAAATGTATTGAAGAACAAGGTGGTGTTTTCGAGCATCTTCTTTAAAAAAAATTGTTATTGTATATTGTAGGATTATAAGTTGATGTTGAAAATAAAGTTTGTCGATACAATTTAATTGTTTCAGATTGGAGGCCATAACTTCAACAATTTGTAACCTAGGAGAAAAGTTATTGTAAGCTTTTTTGTTTAAAATTTGATGCTTTAACAGAAAAAAATATAATATACAGGGGTTTCCATTTAAAAAAATGTTATTTTACTGAAAAAAATCAAAATAACGACTCTCAATTGTTTTTTTTATTTCTCATTTTTACCAGCGTTAAAAATGCTACTAGTTTGCTAATTCAAACAACTTTGTATTTTCACTAATAACAAAGTTACTAATGGTGGACACTTAATTTGGATAACCCTGTATGGTTGGATGTTCTCAGGTACAACACGTTAATCAATGTTACCATACTATTTGAGGCATTCCTGCACTAGGCTTCGAGTTCAGGAACATATATATATTTTTTAATGTAACATTTAAAGCCTATGAGATGGTTCTTCTTGCTTCCAAATGCAGTCGCAAATGTTGGAGTAATAGTTTATTGACGCTTCGACTACCTCAGTGTATCTTGTATTGACAGAAACATAATCTGACATAAGTGCATGGCATACGTAATTCAAATTTCGGGCACACTGCCTCTGATAGGATCTACGTCACTGTCACTGCAGAATATTAACAAATGCAAATGCATCTCTAACAGTCACCATACACGTTCAAAGTCAGTTGAACCCTTTTACTCTAATTTGGAGTAGCAAGGAGCGCTGTTTGATTTTTGTTTTTTTTATTTTATTTTTGTGTGTGTGGACCCAGCGTGCTAGCCGTCGACATTTTTGGCCACCACACCCTATGGATCGACACTTTTTGTGATGGTCGACATGTTTTTTGAAATATATGACGTACACATGAATTTTTGAGCCTGTGATGTGGATTTTTGAGTGATTTTTTGCAGGTGGATAATGACACTAACCCTCTAACAGTTTTGTTTTTCCCCCTCGCGGACGACGCAACCGCCATTTGTAATTTTTTCTTGTACCCAGGGGTTGGAATGCGGTTGCGACGTTTGGGAGACATTGTGACATTTTTAACTGTGTATGGGGCCATCGGTTTTTTGAAGGTCGAACGATACAAAAAAAGTATGACGCAGACTTTTTGCACATCCTTGCTCCCCGACCCCCTAACTCCCCACGTGGTTTTTTCAAAAACTTTTTTTGCATGACTTTGCCTGCTTAAAAGTTTATTTTTTAATCTGGTTATAAACGCATCAAGTCAGAGGTCGTACTGCTCTCCAAACTTTTCTTCAAGTTGACGAAACTAGGGTATTTCATGTCCAGATTTTTAAGGTCACTGAATATTCTAGTATCTAATGTTTTGCGAAGATACAATTAAGTGGAAGTGCAAGATTAAAATATAATCATAAAGTAAGTTCGTATACAATGTTTTATGATCTTTCATATCTGTGGAGCACATATACCGAATTTAGACATAGTACTAGACTAAATCTAGTTTCACTTGGACTTGTCCTAAAGAGGTTTACCTGCCTACTAGCCCGGATCTATTATCAATCGAAATAGCCATCAGCTTTAATTGAACTATTACCCTAGGTTGGTCAAGTGAAGTTACATCAACGAGGAATAATGACACTCTGACAGGTGCTCCTTTATTTTGTTTTGATTTTTGTTTGATATAACTGCACTTTTTTCTGTTGTTCAATGTACCATCGGCCATTGGATTCAGGGATGTTACCCAGTAAGTAAAATACCAGTGGCGAATCTACCACAGGTGCATCTCGGCTGTCATTGAAAATATGACATTTGACAGCTTTATACGACGCTGCTCTGACAAGTCGTTGTTGAGAATTTTTCATAATAAGACTGTGTTTTGGTACTAATAATTGACAAAAGTTAACCATACAGTTTTGTTTCATCACAATGTATTTTCGGTTTTAGGTAGTCGCTATCTTGTTACAGTAAAGGGTAGGTATGATTGGTTTAATGTATCCAAGTTTCACTTCCTCCAAATAGAAGGAGGGTCACATATGAATTGAACAAAATTCACAAGACGCTCGGCAATTTTAAACAATTCAGATCAGCAATACACCTTTGTTAGTTTTGGTATAACAGGGCGCTGCCTATTATCATGCTTCTATATCAGGTCAGGAAGACCTCGTTGTCAACATAACTATCTTACCGATGTTTACGATTATTGATGAAACAGATCACTACTGATCGTGATAACTCGTTAGCCAAAGCACAGTCCAGGACTCATTCATACAAAATGAAGAAAAAACTGATGATAACAGAAAACATAGTTCAATGCACTCAGAACATTGCTAACGGAACTATGCTTTCTCTGTGGTGATTCTCCGAAGAAAGTATAAAATAAATTCTGTGTTTGGTTATCTGCTACAGCTGTTTTCTACATTTTTATGCGATCTATGTTTCACTTCAGATATAAAAGCATTTTTCAATATTATCATTATGTAGCTGTAGCAGTAACATTTCGTCAGTATATTATGTGATCAAATCTGTTTATACTCTTGTCAAGAATCAAAGTACCATCGAACTACTATGATTTAAAACGTTTTATTGTGCTGTTGATTTTACACATTTTTATATTTGCCTTCTTCATTTATTAATAGCAGGAATTCGTGCCATAAAATCATTTGACAACAGTAATATTTTTTCCTGGCAAGCCAAAGCTAGGTGGAGTGCAATTTAAATTAAATCCACAACTCCAGCAATTTATTTCCAGTTTAATGATGATAAGGTCTTTTATAGGAACTCCCCGAATAATTGTTATTTCAGGTAACTTGATAGTATATTTCTGCTCTAGTTGAGCCTCCTCAGTCTAACGAGAATCAAATTCATTGTTGTCTGCTGAAACATAGGTTAGCATACATTTGCTAGGATCAGCTGTGTCAGTTAAACCAAAATATTTCGGGTACTAATTATTCGCTGTTGATTTGTGTGATTGAGTTTATCGTTTATGATTAGTTTTTAAATTTTGGTTATTTGCCCATTGTGTACTATTTCGTTAGTTAAGTGTATTCAGTTGTTTTTATTATTTTAAATGCCTCCCTCGTAATGAACAGGGTGAACTGAAAAGTTGGGAATGAATGCGACATTATATTTTTGACATTTGACATCTCGATGTTTTTCTACATCTCTAAGTTGAACCGCACCAATAATAGCATTGTCACTTCAAAGTGTAAATCTGAGCAAATTTTCATACACATTGGGTGCTCGTAAAAAGATTTAATATTTAGAACATTATACTGAAACATTTTCGTATGTTTTAATGTCATAAATATAAGGGTTCATTCATGTGGCTTCTTTCAGACAAATTTTAATGGATAGGAATTGATGACTGATATGTGATCGATCATTATTTGATCTTGCAAGATAATCAAAAATTGATTGAATCCTCTGGATTGATACAGATACCAAGGAGTATATAGGGACATAACAACTACTCGGTGCTCGTTTAACTTATTATTCATGAAGTTGTCAATAAGTTTCAAAATGGTGTGAACTCCCTCTAGTCTTGCAGCGAATCTTGAAAACGAGTTGATTTCCATGACGCAACTTCTGCAGTCCAGGAACATATTATATTTTTATGCGAATTTGGCCTTTACAAATAGTCTGATATTCAATTTCAAGCATCAAAACTGACCGTATGGCGAATATTGGGAACAAGCTCATTTCCATCATAAAACTTCTGGGTCCCAGGCCCCCTTTTTATATGGAAAGGTGTGTCTCAACATTAGATTTCAGGTTCAATCTAAAGCGTTCTGGTGTACATGAAATAAAAGCATTGATTTGATTTAATATATAGAAAATATTTCTTTGCAGGGTTGTATTTGAAACAGGTATACTTTCTGTTGGTCCATCAGCTCAAAGCACTGTGAGGTTTCACTATTTCATTGTAGAAAGGAGGCCCTCCCAACTTTTCAATGCTACCGCACTCTGTTCCTACGGGCCAAGAAACAGAAATAACCTCACTGTGAAGGAAGTTATCCCTACAACAGTTTTCAAAAAGCTATCAGCTTACATAATTAAATATGCTATACGTACTTCACCCAGTTGGCTCAGTCTAGACCAAGAAGATGCTTCTCGATTGAAGCTGCTTTCTGAACCAATCTACTTTCGAGAAACTTTCCCCTTATTTCGAATGGTGATTCGATATTGCCAGTATGATTTGAGTTACTTTATACTTTCATCAGTAAAATATACTACTAATATTTCAGATATTATGAACAGGTTTAGATTTTGGGTATGTCAAAATTATACAAGATGGGGATGGGAATGAGTTTCAAGTTGGTTGATTTCAATACGTAGTGGCAGATTCAGTTCTCGACGTTACAGAACGGCGCCTGGCGGAAGTAGGATGAGGATATTGGCGTAGTTTATTGATCATTCGTCAGGTTGGTGGTTTTAGCGAATCTAACTCGTTCATTATTAACTTATTTGTTAAAAGATAATGTGAACAGAGAAGTTCAGGGAACTATGTATGACATTTGGAGTGGACACCGGCAATCTTGGTTCATTAAATAAATGTATATATAAATGTTCGATTGGCAGATATCGGTTTAGCAGAAAGTGTACTGGAAGATTAGCAAGTAGCAGGAAGATCCTTGAAAGTATAATTAGCTTAGAAACCAGCTTCGAATATACGAGTACCACCTCACAGTCTAGATTGGGTGATCTTTCCCTTCACGCGAAGATGTGTTTCTTGGTCTAGAACGCCAATACCCTCTGCCACTGCCCTTTGTACCTGACCGTGGTCTTCTTGTTGCTGCCGAGCAGCGCGACAGATACCGGCTGCGTGTACGCGCCTCTGATAAGGGCGACCCTCCCTCCTACGCGGACGTGGATATTGAGTTAGATGTCGTCGACAGAAACAATAAACCTCCACTATGGGATGAAGCCACTTACGGCCCCATTCACATCAGAGAAAATGTCACAGTGGGTACAGTCGTGACGTCTGTCAAAGCCAGGTTTGTATCGATCCACCGGTCGGACAGAGAGAGAGAGACGTCTTCAGGTGTGCGAAGATCTTAACCATGATGGGTGTGTAGTCTTCAGTGCTGGATATGTTATTCATTCAGTCCACGGCTAGCTCTTTGTCTCTCAGAACTGTTTCCAAGTCAGAATTCTTACACAAACAGCCAGTTTAACTTTGAAGGTGATATCTGATAATAGATGTCAATCAATCTAAACCATTGTAATAGCGTCCTACTGACAGTTCGTTATGTTTGTTAAACAATACGTCAGCCATGCCCGGTGGAGGTCTATCAATGATCAATATGTAGCGGATGCGTGAATATATACAGTGCATGCACAATGCAAGCATCTTTCTGATGAATCATCTCTAGTCACCGACGCGAAATAAGTAGGCCACGGGTTGACTACGCCTCCAAATTGGCGGCGCCGCTAAGGCGGTCGACAGGACATGCATTTCAGTAGAATGGTCAGGCTATGGACGCTGGTGATGCCACCATGGTGTCTCGGTGAGGGAGGGCTCTTTGTGCAGCCGTTGTTGAAGCCTTATGGTGACTAAGAACTTATTCACGTATTTCACGTACTCACTGTGTACGAGGTGGATTCTGGAAAAGCATTTGTGTAGAAAATGCAAGCTCGTAAGTAAACCTGAACTTCCAGAGAATGAAAAAGGTAGTTACGTACGGTACTTGCTGTAGCTGCCTACAAGAGCTTTTGCCGAGATCTTTCATGATATGATGTCCTTTGAAGTGTGGAGGAAGAACATAAGATATAAACTAATTATTGTTGTACAAAGTACCTTTATCAAAATTGAAGTTCTGGCAAATACCAAAATGGCATATGTGTAGCATATCCAGTACCCAAGACTTACTAACCGCAGAGGGCTGCTGAAATCAGTACACTAGGCGTTTGTATGGGATGAATCTATGGGCTGCCGTATCAAGTTATATTGATACGCTTAGGCCAAATTCATTTCAAGGCACCTATTGTTTTTGTTTCAGCTGTCTCCCTTGGTCAGCACCTATCAAGAAACATGACAGCTGTTGTCCCGAAGCTCGTGAAAGGGGGGAAAGGGGCGCCAAGTGGGGTATAGCTCGGGATGGCGGCTGTATCTACTAATTTCTTAAGCTGTCATTACCTGTCCATGTTTCTTTTAAACCTGGTATAACTTTGATGGAACACATTCTTCCATCAACCTTTTACTGTCGCCCATATACCTTCCCTTGGAGGTTGCAAAGAACTAGTATTCTGTATAAAGGATAATAGAGGTGGTTCTTGGTGGTGTCGGCTGGAAGTAATACTGTAACGAAGGAATTCGGAACACATATATTTCTAAGAATATTTTTTCGATTTGGATAATTTGCCAAGAAACAGTATAACCAGATCTGCATCCATAAAGGTAAAACCTGGGTATGTGGATCCTGTTATGGGATAACGTAACATTGCTGAGTAAATCACATTCAAATTCGTGTTACACTTAAAAGGTGGTTTGCTCAGCAGAGTTGATACAATTTGTGTTACTTCTAGACCAATACGACTTTTTCCTCCCGTTCCTCCCAAACACACCACCCTACATACAAAAGCACACTCACCGACCTCTGGCGTGTACTGAACGGAGAAATTGGACAAATCTTTAGCGTAGCCCCACAAGTGTTCTGCCACAAGCTCGCATTGTATCTATATATCTATTTCCACTTTTCCCGTCGCGCTAGCGCGAGACCTACAAACTGGAGGCGACCGCGCAAGATAAGGGCATCCCGCCTCTATCCCGGTCCGTGGAGGTGCAGATTGACGTGGTGGATCGCGCTAACAACCCTCCTGTCTGGGACCATGTGGTCTACGGGCCCATCTTCATCCGGGAAAACTTCCCGGTGGGTGCCAAGGTGGTCTCCGTCAAGGCAAGGTCTGTGCACAACGGCACGACAATGGATGATACGTACTCTTCGAGGCCCATTCACTTCGAGCAGGGATCAACGGACCGATCAAACATTGAAAAAAAAAGAACATTGATGACATCTCACTCCCACGTTCAATGAACATTGTTAAGGGTAACCGTACTGTAGGAATAGCGCATTCGCCTAGTATGCGGAAAAACAGTAATGTTAACTGCCACTAGTCCCCATTTCGTAGAGATCAGTGCTCCAGTATGTGCATATTCTGTCTTATGCAACCTTCTAGTGCCCATAAAGTTAGCCATAAATGTTATCTGAAGCCTATTAGGCGATTTTTTTGTTAAGGAAGATCAAACTTTCTGTGGACCTGCCTTAAATTTCTCTTCTCACTAAAATTCATGTTGGAAAATAGTGACTTATCTTCAAGCCTTATCACGTCAATTTTAATTTGGTTGCTCGATATATCGGTCCGTTGGTGCAGTTCAAGTTGAAGAGCCAGTAAGTGATCACTAGCGGTGTTGGTCGACCTCTTATCAATTATACCTGCCATAAATGACCACTTGTCTGTCGAAAATTGAAATGCCCGTAAAAAGTATGAAGTAGTATTTCCATATAGCTGAGTATATAAGAATAGACAAATCGTTCTTTATGGTAGTGTATCCCCAACATAAGATAAAACACCATCCCGTATTGGAATATTCTAGAGATTCTGAGTATTAATGAAGTTGACCATGATAAATATACGTTGTCGCAAGATATTGAAAACCTGTTATGTACATTCAGTATTCCAATTGAAAATATGAGCAGTCTAGTAGAATACTACATTTTGGCAATGCCAAAAGGTGTTTTATTAGTGAAATTTGAAGACAATCCTCTAGAATGTCCCATAGTTAATTCGCAAAAAGAGGTACCCTAACTAATACTTTCTACGACTCCTACTTATTTCGATAATATGATTGGTGGTGGAAGTTTCTTTTTGCGAATCGTTGGTGAATTTGTTGGAACTTCTGTGCTCAGTGTAACTCATTATGACTGTAATATTGCATACATATTACTACGTGTCTAATTTGATGAATATATCAAACCCACAATGGAATCGAATACTATACACTGATACTGATAGCCTGATATATCAATACTGGATGAAGTATAAGGTTTAGGCATTTGTGTTATAATAATTATGTCAAATAGTTTTTAAATGGTCATAATACGTGTATATCAACTATGAGCTATGATAAAGCTCGTACTTACTACATGTATTTAATGTGATGAGTTACAATACAAAGCTTTCGTGATACAACATGCGTATATTACAGCTAAAGTATGTCATATGTCAGATAGTTGTAACGACAAATAGCTAATAATTATGCAGGTAACGTTAATTATTCCAGTGAAAACAGTATCTCAAAATTTTGCAGCCCGTTACTTCAAATCATATTGAACCCTATCGAAACCGTTAAAAATACTTAGGAGGCGGATTCCGCAGGATCTTTGCAATTTTTTTTACACTTAAGACAACACTACCGTAGTTAGTTCTAAAAGCATGTATCACTGGATATTTCCTTTCCATGTCCTCATAAATTAAAGTCGTGTGTATCACTGAATTACTATACTATTCTCAGAACAGATTGTAGTAAGAAATATTCAATGTATAAAGCTAAGTCCAAATTTAAATCAATTTTGTATAACAAAATGGACAGATAGTAGAGTTTTGAAGAAAATTAGGCAATATCCACCCTCAACGTGCTTATTTAGAAATTGTGTAGAAATATCCGTCATATAAGTGAACTGTATTAGCAGGTCGATTTCTGAATTTCTTGACTCTCAGTTATATAAATATTTCTGCGCAATTGTGATCCTTGAAAAAATCATCAATTTCTGCGCTTTAGCTGTACCATATACATGTTATCAGTGTGTCATATATAAGAAGTTGTAGCTATGAAAGTACAAAAGTTTCAACATTAGACCAGTCGGGATGCGATAAGTAAATTTTGAGGTTCGATGTGGTTGGTGTCCGTGTAGATGCAGCACGCAGCTCTACACGGCACATGAGTCGTCTGTTTGTGCACGCTTTTCCCAAAACTGGAGAAACAAAACGTTTAAATGGGGCCTGCACGTGCTCTGCAGTAATCATGCCCCAAGATTCGCGTATTCGGGAAAGAACTCCTCCAAAATGATTTTTAAGCCATTCTCTGAAACATAACAATTATAATAATTATTTAATAGGTTATAAGGTCCGAATTGTGGAGGGCTATAAAAGATATCAACGCATCACCTTAATTGCAAAGTATTCTATATCTGTTTTTCAAGTATTTGAAAAGACTATTGAATGTCCTCGATTTATGAATGTACCACTAATATCTGTGCATGTTTACCCAAGGATGATGAGATTGATGGGATAAGAATTCAGTGGTTCGTATCCGACCGTATCCGGTCCTAATGACAATAAAGATGCATTAAAAGTTATTTTGGAGGTGATGTTATTCTAGAATAGACAAAATTGTCATCCGCCATTATCACTATGGGAAACCGTCAAACTTGAAGATAACCTAGGTCCTGTAGCTATGGGTGTGTAGTCCTCCTGAACTTCCAAACTGACTCCCACTTTGCTGAATGTTGTTGAAGGCACCACACGCATATTAACGTCACAATGCTTTGAGGGCTAAGGGATATGGAAGACAACTTTAACAGCATTCAGCCTATCACCGCTCCATATCACCTTCCATTGACATAGAACAGTATTAACGGGAAATATGAGGAGAAGGGAACATTTGATGGATATGAAGTAATAAATTTCTTGATATTACCACTTGATCGGATTTCAAACATATATCTTCTCGTCAATTTTTGTACCAACATGTCAAGAGAGCCCAATTTTTATGTCACACTTTTTACAGACGTTGCTTTCACCAAACTAAACTGACTAAACCAACTACTTTTTGAAGAAAATCTGTTATACTACAAATACCAGTGGTATACATTGAATACTATTTCAATACTATTGTCAGTATTATACTCTAAAGTTACCTTGGGTTCGAAGCATACGTAAGAACTGGAAATGCTTTATTTTGTGCTAGAGTCAAAATTAAGTTATTAAGTTTTAGCTGATGTACCCGTATTCACTTATAAATCTTTTTGGTCCGTTTTGCACCTGCACCTGCTCAGGGTCAACGATTACTTTTTCAATCACCTTTAACCATACAATCAAATAAATTTTCAATAAATAGCAAAGTAGGCTCGATATGTTCTAAACAACAATATGACAGTTACTATCTACACAGTAGAAGAAAAAATAGATGAAGAAATTAGTTACTTCTATTATCTGGTACATCCCACTACCAAATCAAAGATATAATGTTCTCCATCTAACGGCAAATGTCAGAACAACCAGTCCAAATAGATTGCACTGTAATCGATGTGAGTTTGCGCTCTCAAATGTTTTGTTATCGATCCACTGGCAATCATTTGGACAGCTAAATAACAGATGTCGCTAGATACTGGAATATTTTACTAACTGAACACCTTTCACATTTTTTTGGAGAAATCAATAACCACGGATTTCTTTTTGAAAGGCACAGGGCATCCAAAACCATGTTTTAAATTTTTGCATGATTTCATTAGATTTTTTAGAAAAGTTAAATGCGATTTGGATGTATTGTGCCTTTTAGGAAATATTTTGATGGTTGCATGGATTATTTTTTTGGGTCATGGCTGAATATTTTTTAATAGTCTGATTTTTTACTTCCCCTGTCTTTTGGGGGAAGCAGAAATTTGAAATCTAGTCAATCGAGTTTCTGATTACTTTATGATGTGTTCAAACGATTTTTTTGTTACGAGCTTTAACATTTTGGAACTTAGCAATCTCCACTGTGTGAAATCAGTTGAATCATCAATCCTCGTAAACCTAGACGAGCTAGGTAAGACAAATATTCAAACATGTCAGAAGCCTGAAGTGATCACGAACATGAACCTTAATCTATTTTTTGATTTGAAGGCAGTCAAGTTCAGTGGAAAAACAAACCTCAAATAAATGCAACTTTCACAAATATTCAAAAATGAAAGAGGACTACTTAAGCCACGACCCTATAAATCCGCGCAAATTTTGCATGTGGCTGATCATTTTTTGTAAGCCATGTATAAAAATATTATTTTTGCTTTTTTGGTCGCCATAGTTTACGTACTAGATTTTTGGATGGCGCATTAGAATAGAACTGCATTTTTTGAAGACCAAAGGTTGACAAATGAGCTTTTAGTGCATGGTTATCGTTGCATATAGTTTCGTTTGGTGAATATACGACCTATCAAACCCTCAATGGACAGCAAATTAAGTTTAGGATAATTCCAATGTATACATTTTAATGAGGTCTTCGAAAATTAAGGATCAAAGCATATTCAGCATTATATTTATATTGCTATCAGAGGATGGAAAAACAGTTTGCTGATATGAGATTAACTTGTCTAGGTGATAGATAGGTGAAACCTATTTGAGCTATCTACATTACCAAGAAAAGAAAAGTCGTTTTAGTGGGTGTTATGACAAATCTATTTATTTTGTTTATTATACCATAATATGGAAATCATGAATTTTAACTAGTGCAGCAGTCGGAAAGAGAAATATAAATGCAATATCTATGAGCGCATTCATACTACGTAGAGATCCAGCTGTGCAGCTGTTTAAAAGCATTGGTAATGAAATAGCTTTGACAGTTTGACAGCAGTTTTCATCTAGCTGTCAGATTTGATTTGCTGATAAAATGTTATGAACTGCCTAGGTATTTGATGGCTACTACTATTCAGTATAAATCCAAGTAGTAGATAGAAAGATACACAGTATGTTGAATATTTTCTGACAAAGCCAAATATTCATGACAAACTAACATATTTAACTCAAGAAAACAAAACAAAACGGAAACTGTGAGGAGATTGTGAAAGGCGTTTTACTTGTAACACATCCTTATAAAAGGAGTATTTTTTCAACGCAAGAGTCGTATTTCCACCACCTTGGTCACTGTATCAATGCTAACTGTGCAATAAAACCTCATTACAGTCCTAGGTCGTATAATCATAATATACTTAGGCCAGAAATTCCTCAATATTTTTCTGCTTAGCTCTGGTATCGAGAACAACCCAACGGTGTTCTACCGGTTGATGCCAGGTTCTACAGCGCAGACCAACAAATTTCATACGTTCTACCTTCAGCAACGTCCTGATAATGGTTTTACTTGGGCGGATATAAAGGTCAACCATCCGTTGGACTATGAGACTATAAAGGAGTATAACCTCACCATACGAGTAGAGGTAAGTTCTATGCTATACATGGTATTCGAAAGTTTGAACAGTATTAGTTGTATGATTTTTCTAAACGTCAGTAGATGCATTACAGTGTATGAAATAACTCGCATAATCTGATAGAATATTTTTCCTGTCAAAACTGAAAAATATTCTACGAGTCCAAACAATTAAATATTTGGACACCTTAACATTTTGTACAAATGGATCAAGTCAATACGCGAAATATCAAATGATCTTATTCCTAAATCTACAGTTTAGGACATTGTAAAAAGGTATAGGGAAACTGCAAGTACTGATGTCCGCGGTAAAAGCCTAGGTCGACCGAAGATTGTAACTGAATAGAATCGAAGAGCTTTGGACAAAATCTGCAAATCGGGTAGGCGAAACACTTTAAGGAAATTACCACTCAGCGGAACACAAAGTGTAGGATGCAGCTTTCACGAGAATGCTTAAACGTATAGTAAAATTTCCCAAAGGTATTATGGTGTGGGGATGTATGTCTGCAACTGGAATGGGACGTCTTTATCTTATAGATGGTCGACTGAATGCAGCTAAATACCAAGAAATCTTTGAGAATACATTATTACTTACCTGACGGAGACTGTTTTTATCAGCAGGACGGCGCCTCATGCCACACTGCTAATAGCACAAAGAAATTGTTTGGGGATCACAACGTCCTCTCTTTGCCTGCTAGTAGCTTCGATTTAAATGTGAAAGAGGCAGTATGGCATAAAATGAAACAACTTTTGAGAAACCATCCTCCGAGAACAAATCCTGAACTGCGTGTGAGATTGCAAGAGATTTGGAATAGATTTACACAGGAAAATTGCCAAGCATTAGTTAAGACTATGCCGACAAGAATTCAGACGGTAATTAAGGCGAAAGGCGATGTAACAAGTTATAAGTTAAGGTAAATTTTGTAGTCTCCGAATATTTAGTTGCCATATTTTTTTGTTAATTGTTTTACTTCATTAAAATTAATTATCAAGAAAAACAGATGATACTCTTGAAAATATGCCACAGTTTCTATATAATACCAATAAAAGTGTACAATCTTGCTCAGTTATGTTATAGGATAATTTGGACAAAAGTAAAGGTGTCCGAATATTTAGTTGCTTGGGCTCTTTCAACCCATTCGCTGGGCACTGAGGTAATTCGTATTCCAATCGACCTTGTTTGCAGGGTGTTCCAGAATAACATGGCTATCTGTTGGATCCATAGAAAACCAAAACAGACGCCACTGAAATTCAGTTCTTTCTTAGTAGTTTTTGAAGGAATTAATAATTCAAGCAAATTTTACTAGCGCAGTAGTCTACTGGAACCTATAGAGAACAATTAACTCATTTGGATTGGGGATTATGGACTAATTAGCTCCCTAGCAATATTGCAAACTTTGTCACAAGTGGCCCAAAAACGTCACCCTTGAGCCATTTTTGCAAGGTTTCAATCCCAAGCTAAAAAATATACTCTTTTACAAAATCGACTAACTATCCGTCTTGTTTGAGTACCTTGCTATTAATTCTCGTACTCGTTCCGGCACACCGTTTCTTTCATTTTGAAAGTATAATAATTCCGATAAATAATTGATTCGTAATCAACGACCCTAGAACACTCGCGATATAACTTTTTAGATTAGTCTTTAGGTTTTCTCGAGTCTCTTAGGGACAATTGGCCGAGCATTAAAACGAGACACTCTTTCAAATCATAGTCATTCTATCGTCAAAAATGTGGGATAAAAATTATCCTAACCAGTTGGAGGATCGAATTTCCCATAAATATTATTTTTGAGCCATCAGTATGCAGGATGTAAAATACCATGACATCACTGACGATCTTAAGCAGCTAGTTGTTTTCCATCTACACCATCATATGTGGCTTCAACTGGTTACTAAGCTGAAAAATTTCATTGAAGGACACAATGCTTGAATGTTAGCTCAGCAGCAATCTCGTTGGAGTAACTTGATGTATAAGGCATAATGTATGTCTTCTTAGCTTTGACATTTTCACCTTGATGTCAATTAAAAGTCGATATGTTGATGTACAAAATTTCTAACAGATTTAAAAAATTTTGAAGAAAAATCATCTCCATAAGGTCGCACGAGAACTTTTGGAGTCAGATATGCAGTATTTGAAAGACGAAACAAAACCAACAAATAAATCGACTAAAGGAGACTCTAAACGAGCAACATCTTTGTTGCGGACTACAAAATCGGTCAAGAATGGTTGACGATATTATACTTGACGCGGCGACTTATCTTACCTACATTACGTTATTTCAAGTAAAATTTCTATAAATCTGTAATCTGAAACTGATGTACAAAAGTATCTCCTAAAAGTCAAACATAAGTAGCCGAGTCATACCAAAAGTATTGCCATATGTTGCGTAATGCAGCTGCTGTTGATGAAAATATTGCTAGCTAGTATATTGCAACTGCATCCTACAGTAAAATATTGACTGTTTAGATGCCCCTCAACACGGAAATAGTTCAGTCTTAACTGCTATCTAGGTATGAGCGATGAAAATATTGACAGAATATTTACTCGTCCAGTATTACGTCTTCATCATTCCCCCGGAGCATACAGCTTTCACGTCACGAGCAGGAATTATCTCTGACATGCTTCTTGTATACGTTTCTTGTTATACTATACTGGATATATAGCAGCATCTGTCGTGTTGTCTGTGCACGTAATTGCTTGCAATTCCGAGTCAGTTTGATCCGTCAGATTTGGATGCTATTGTTTGTAAGATTATCTGAGACGAGACTGTGTATATGAGCAATTCTCCTGTGCTTTGATGCGAACATAACAAGCTCATAGGAACAGATGCGATATCTAAGTCAATAATACGACATTACTTCATTTAAATCGTTATCTGACAGAATACGTTGGTAGCATCGTTAATGATTCAAACAATTCATCTATTCAATTGAAAATGCCACTAAATGTGCCTAATCTCACTGCTACATCAGCTATTAGCAACTAAAAATTGACTAACTAATGTTTGTTTGATGCCACTACTTTGATACTAACTCAGTTTATCGATGGACTCCTCGCAGGACAAGTGACTAATGCTGAATATTTTCAACTTTCGAGAATCATTTTTCCCTGCATCAAGGTGGCATAAATAGCAAATAATTGAATATTACAACTGAACTGACTGAGTAATGCGAATTGATTCACTGCCTACTACCTTACTTTGACACTGACTCGATTATATACCCAATTTTCTGATCAGGTAGAATAAACGCTTAATAGATATTAGTTGAATATTATTATTAGCTTTTTCTTTGCATCACAGTGACAAACAGTTTACCGTATCATGTACCGTTGCTTTAGAGCAGTGGTGACATGAGAAGCCTGACACTCAGACTCACTGACAATTTTTTTAATGTTTGAGTATAATTTGATACCGCCATTCGAATATAATTATCCTAATGTTCATCTGTAAGTCAATTACGGTATTTGTTTTTGATGAACTGCATATCTGAAAAAGAAGATTCACACAAATAGGTTGAACTAAATACCGCTTTCACTTTCAAGACAACACGATATGAAACTGAATATTTATTTTTACGAGTACTTACTGAAGGCCAGATACATTTTGTATTTGAGATTAATGATTTTAAAGCTAAATCATTTTGAAACGTAATCACTTCCATTTCTGTCGCAGCGATGTGTTCGCGTAACAGAAGCTGCAAACTGTTGGATATCAATTTCCGCGAAGGGTGAACCAGCAAATTGCGCCACTATAGCAATTTCGTTGAAATCCTTGAAACGATCTTTGAAGTTATCCTTCAAGTTAGAGACTACTTCTACATGACATTTACTGTCATATGGTTCTAATGGACTTTGAGATATCTTTTCTGAAAGAACAGGAAAATGCCTGGCATCGCCAAGTTTTTATATCAGAAATCATTTCTGTTAGTTCGTTGTCTCTCCCATGAAGCTGCAAATTAAGTTCATTTAATAATTTTTCAGTAATATCTACAAGAAAACCAAAATTTCTAAGCCAGATTGAATTTTCAGTTCCGGAATCGGTTCATCACGTTGTTTGGAAAATTGAACTATGGCAAATATGATATCATTAAAACGTCTTAGCCCTCTTCCCCTAATTAACCATCGGACTTCAGAGTGAAGAAGTAGTTCCTGGTATTGGCAGGCAATTCCATCTGCCAAGGTTTTGAATAATCTTCTCTGTAACGTTTGAGCTCTAATCTTGTTCACAATTTTTACGTTGTTCAGCTTCAGAAAATGTCCACATAATGCTTGCTGATGGATAATGCAGTGGTAACAGAGAAATTGCGGAAGGCTTTGATCTTTACGACGTAACTCCACGAGACCCTTATCACGACCCGCCATAGCTGGAGCGAAGTCGGTTGTCAAGTCTACCATTCTCGATATGGGAATTTTCTCAGAAGAAATAATATTTTTGAAAGAAGAAAACAAGTCTGTTATTTTAATGGAATAAGCTTCAAATGATCTTAGATCGTAGAATCACGAAAAACCATTCTGACGAACACGACCATCTGAGAGGTGGATTCACCCAGCTGCAGTGAAAAATAAGCACAGTTATCGAAGTCATTTCTTAACTGTAAAACAATATCCTTGCTCATTACTTCGACTCGTTTCATCACTGGATTAGCAGAAAGTTGCATAGATTTTATAGCAGACACTATCTCGTCTTTATTTCTAAAGTTGGCAAATAATGAATCTACAGCTTCTAAAAACGCATGTTTCATTTTGTGTAATTATCTGGGACACCCGGAATGATGCTTCAGTTGCAGCCTTACTTTTGTCGACTGTCTTTAAAAACATTGTCTGTTGTCTAATTATAGTATTTCCGTTCTGGTTGCAGAACGTAATGGGAATGATTTTTCAAAATTCGAATGTATAGTTTTATAGAGCCTCTCGATATTCCCTTTTTAGCAACGGAAACAGATGTATTATATAACAAACATACATCTTTACATTTAAATTCTATAAAAAATAATGGAAATGGTATGTCTTCATCTTCTTACTACTGCTCAATGTTTTTGATTGCATGCGAGCTCTAACCCAACCGCTCGACTTTATGCCGTTTAGTTTTAAATTGAGTGCACTGTTATCGCGTCTTCCGTATTTATTCAGTTCAAAGTGTTGCCTCTGTTTGTGTTTATTATGAAAATTTACTAAATTTGCGGAAGCTTCTATGATTTTCACACCTTTTTGAAATATGTTGTGAGCCATCCGAATTGCCTTTGCGAGCCAGCGGTAGCCTGCGATCGACGTGTTGGCGATCACTGTTTTAGAGTATAACTCTGCGAGTACAGAAAAATCTTTCGATGAAAAGCTGGTGTTTTTAAACAAATATTCCAAATTCATTTACGAGTAAAATACTTGCAAAATGAACGCAACTACTGTAAGTCGGTGACATTGACACACTATGTAGATTAACATCTTAATATTATGACGCTATCCTTGAAATAATTGAGAAATGCTCCTTCAAAATGTTATGCCGTAAATATTGATCTATCGGAACATAGCGTTGTAATGTAACGCAGTCTCGTTCCACTAAAGATCATATTACAAGGTTTTTTTGCATGCTATGTTCCCTTCAATTATGCTCGTAACGAGTAGCTGAATCTCTATTATATTTGCAAGAATATTGAACTAATTGGAAAATATGTTGCAACAGATATGTATGGAAATATTTTTGCTTGTAATCGTAATGAAAAGAGAAAAAAGTTGCTTGAATAATTATTAAGGAGACACTAGTAGCGTTACTGCACTCGCTAAATAAACGATCTGGTTTAAACTAATATTGCAGCCCATATAGGGTATAGGGTATATAGGGTAACTAGGATATGAAACAGTAAGATTAAGAATACTTAGTATTTTGGTTATTCTTGCTCTGTATCCTGTCCTAACTGTTCAACTGCCAAAAGTTTGCATTCATCAACATATGACGGGCATTTAATGGTACATAGGACAGATCATATGCTAAGGTACTTGATCCAAATAACGCCATACTAACGTTTTATTTTGCATAGCATCATAAATAGCCTCTTAAAATTTTATGAGTCTTGGTAATTATTATCTCTACATATATTAGAATGGAAAATATAGTACCATGTTTTCTTATAACAATTCAAGCAAACAAATTTTCATTTTTTGATTCACATTGCAGTTGACCCTTTTAGGAACACCTTGTCCCAAGTAACGCCAACTATGATTTTATATAAAAAAATATAAAACTGATTATGTAAAAATAGAAAGTGATGCGTATCAACGTAAGTTTTTATTTAAAGTTTATTGAGACTCACAATCAATACAAGCAAATGAACTTTTGTAATTTTTCGTTAAACCTACACACTCTTCATGAATGTAACGGTTACAAACGATTCTTTTGGTAAATTTCACTGGTTTCCATAATACTTTTTTTCTTAATTTATTGCTGTCGGGAGATTCTCGGCTGGCGTTATTAGGCGCACGTAACCTAAAATTTATATTGCCGATTTCACAAAAACGTCTTACGTTTTGATTCAAACTATAAACTTGATCCAAAATAAACTTCCCAATATGACGTGGATATCAGCAAATGTAATTTACTCAACGATTAAACAACAAAATTCTTGCAACAAAAACTTTACCGCCAATAATGTTGTTGTTGTTAAATGATGGCAATGCATGTGGCGACAATTGTTGCATTCAGTAAGCGGTTTTTTATGTTCCATTGCTTTCCTGGATAGAAACCTATCAAACTATATCACATAGTTTTTGAATTGCGTTAGCGGATTTCTGAATGATGGCTTCTGGCATTATTAGGGACATGGCGTTATTTGAGTCAAGTACCTTACTGCAATTCGCTAAATCTTTGGACAGATTTATGTTCCCCTGAGAGCTGAGTTGAAGTTGCGAGAAGCTGACGGTCACAATCAAACCGCTCATCCTATCTGAGTTTGTATAGGTCTGAAGTACTCTATGTTTTATGTCATGGACCCCTGAGCTATAACTAATTCCTATACTAAATTAGTTATCTTAAACACAAGTAATATAACAATCCCTGCTCTGTATTCCAGAACAATGGCGCCCAACAACTGGCATCAGAAGCCACGGTTTACATTCAGCTGGAGGACGTGAATGACGAAATTCCACTGTTTACTGAACGGGAACAAGAAACTGTGCTGGAGGGCGAGCCCATTGGCACCAAGGTCACACAAGTCAATGCCATCGATAAAGATGGAACATTCCCCAACAATCAGGTAAGCTGTTTTAGACCGAAACATTTACAACATTGTGTAATGATATATGCGTTGTGTCCCGGATCCAAGGGTAAGATGAATTCAAAACAGTCACTTCGGTTACGCACGCAATCTGATATTGGCGACTTCCCCTTCGCTATTAGTTGTAGGTGTGTTTGTCTAAACGTCAAGAATGTGCTGTCAGTGTGATACGTTTGACTTAATGTGACATTTGCTTCAAATATACGAGCCCCTTCTCACTTCAGTTGGCCCAACTATTGAAATATTAGTTTTTTTTCTTATCAAACACAAATAATAAAAATGTAGTAGGGTGTTATAGGTTTAAAATATTAACAATGAATATCTTGATAATATATAGTAGAGAACACCAACTTTATCACTCCCTAATCAAATTTGCAGCATAAAAATAACGCATGCAATTCCAGCATATCAACCTATTTTCATTTCAATGCAAAATAAGTCTATAACGCATAGGTGGCTGTGAAAAATAAAAGCCATGACAATTGTTTTTATTAATCACAGCTGTCAGAATACGTTTAAAATAGTTTTGGGTAGTTAAGGTTTTCAAACTGGGTAGAGGAAAGGTTATTAGTGAGAAAATTCGGTTACTGATAATTAAATTTTTTAATTCTAACTTTGTTAGACTTATCGCGGTACAGTGTGAGAAATATTGTTAGAAGATATAACGTAACTGGTTCAGTTAATATTAAGCCACGATATGTGAAAAAGTAATATCACAAATGCCGACCAAAGAGCATTAAGAAGAATAATCGTGAAAAACAGGCGTGCCAATTATTTACAATTAAGTGCTCTGTGGAGTGACGCTGTTGGAAGGAGAATTTCGAGGCCCACAACTCATAGAGAGGTCCACAAACTGGGATTTAGCACTTGCAAAGTAAGTTTTCTTATAAAAAAAAGTAAAGTAAAAACCCTAAAGTTGCACAACTTGTTTATAGGCCAAATAAAAGCCACAATTAACTCCACTGCAAAAGAAAAATCGGCTTAGATAGGCTAAAGAACATAGACAATGGACACCTCACCAATTGGTGACAGTCGCAGTAGAGTTATTCGCAAAAAATGAAGCATTCCATGTTGACTGTGAAAAGTGAAATTTCCAGCATCCACTATGGTCTGGGGCAGTATATCATCAAAAGGAGTCGGAAAACTTCATTTTATTTATTGATGGAAATGTGGATAAAAACAAATATTTGACAACTTTAGAAGAATCGCTTTTATCAGTGATGGAAGAATGTTTGACATCCGGCCAAGATTTTGGGTTTCAGCAAGATGGTGCAGCGTGCCATACCTCAAAAAAGGCTATAAAATGGATGGAAGAAAATAATGTTCCACTTTTGAAATGGGTTTCTAGCAGTCTAGATCTGTCACTTATGACTATGAAACTTTGTGGCACGAGATGAAAAAGGTTCTACGACAACATCCTGCTCGTACAATCACCGAACTGAGACAAAAGCTTCAAGCTTTGGGACCTCGGTTGGCCGCGTGGGTCAGAGTGTCGTGCTACTGATCAGCCGGCCGGCCGGGCCGCGACTTCGAATCCCGCCTTCGCCATGGATGTTGTGTGTTTGTTTTAGGCTGCAGCGGTGGCCGCAGTAGTAGACTCTTCGGTCTCCTGATCAGTCGCCGTGCGCTGTGCGGGTTCGAGTCCCGTCCCAGGAGAAATTTTTCTCTTGGCTATGGATGTTGTGATTGTCCGTAGGTGGTAGATGGTCTCTGACTGTCGAACGCGGAGGTACCACCCGGCGGTTCTCGTAGGCGGAGCCAGAATGTGTGCATGTTGCATGCACACGTGTTCCCTCGCCATAGTCCCTGTGGCGTCCCCCCTTTCCCATGTATCCCCCTATAGCCCCACGGTACCCAATGGGTGCTTAGGCCTTAGGCCTATATGGGATTGTTTTACACCAAATTTTTGCCAAAACTTGGTTAACACTATGCCCCAAAGAATTTCAGCCGTAATAAAAAATAAAGGTGTTGTTACCCAATGGTAATCTTTCAGTTGTTGCTTTGTTAACTTCGCGCATTGAATCGCACATTGTTTATTTGTTCAGATGTTCTATTAATTATAGGCCTAAGTGATTTAAAATATATATTTTTACGACTAGAGTGTATCTAAAATGTTTTTGAGAAAATAAATTGTTTTAGAAGTAAATAGTTTCGTCATGTTTAGTTTATAAAGGCTAATTTTGGTACAAATCATGAAGTGGGAAGGGGCTCGTAGTAGCAGCGGAGGCCATCCGTAGCTTCATAGCATAAATTGTAAGTTGCAAACTACAGCCAGAATGACGGCATTTGCTTTAGTCTTCCATACGCGGCGTTTACCACGAGTAGGCGTGCCGTGGGCTTTCCGACTAGCTAGTATCCAGTGTCTAGTATATATTCTGTCGATCACATCGCTAGCATTAGTCTAATCATATTAGACGGAAATATCACTGGTTTGCGAAATAATTGTAAAGTCTGGTTTTATTGATGCAAGTTGTCCAAGGGGGTATTTAAAACATGGACGCATAAAATGGGTAAAGTAATTTTTCTGGGAAAACAAAGAATGAGAAAACCCGTTTTTTTGGGATTCAATCGAAAGTGGTGGCAGGAACAAAAAAAAAACTCTTCAAATAAGATTTTTAGGTATTTACGAGACCTACCGAATAGGACCACACGTCAAAATATACCACTAATATTGAAAAAGTTATGGCCGACAACCGAGGCAAAATGCATTTTATGAGTACTTTTATTGCGATCAAACAGTTTTTCGCACGCCATAGACAATTTAAGCTTGCAAACAGGGGTATAAGTATTTTTTTTATATTACTGTGATAAAATTTCAGAAACATTATGCCGGATCGTAGCAGATAATTTTTGCAGATAAATATCTTAGAAGTGTAAATTATCAACCAACAATAATAAAAGACATCCGAAAATTGTTTGTGATAATACGCTTATGTTTTCGTACGCGGTCAAGTTAGGTACCTCTTGGAGCCGCAGAAGGTGCTTATAAAATTAAGTGAGCTAACTTACAGTTTTTGTATTTATCAAGTTACTGTTCAGCGTAGATGCTCATTTCATCCGTAGAAATTTTTTGCATAGTTAGTATTTTTGTATTATGGCAGCATAACGCAAAGGTAGCACTCCCTTTTCGGGAGTGATGGGAAAGAGGATGCCCAAAAACAAAGTGAAAGTCAAATATACAAAAATCGGGTATTAAGCAATTTTAAGTATATCTATACAAGTGTAACATAATTGTTTTTTTCATCTAAAATTAGTATTGTTGTACATTCAATGGAACTGTATTGAAGATTGATTGATATTTTATATTTATTAACCACAACAATCATAATGCTACTTATTTTTCGTATTGTTATCTGTACATTGTGTTTCCACCAACTTGAGGTAATTAACTTGTAGTGCATTAAACCAGGTTTCAATAGCGGAAGGTGAATAGAGACATTATACCAATAAATCTTTCTCTCTCTCTCAGATAATATATAATAGAAGTACACATAATGTGAAAAAACGTGTATTTCTCCAAATTAAAAAAAATAATAGAGAAAAGAGGAGCTTCGTGGATTCGGACCTTCCTCCTGCAGTTCTGCATTCCTCAATCATTCCCATTACGCTACGACGCCTCTTGGCTTACTGGACCCTTATACCACTATACTTGACACTGGCAAATGTCAAGCGAATGCTGAAGACATATCAAATCTGAAAAGTCGAACGAGATTTCGAAAACAGACTTATACTATATGAACACTTTTAGAAAAATGCCTGGGGAATTATATTTCTTCGTAAAGAAACTGGATTACGTGACCTACTTATTTGACAAAGGCATGCAGTCATCAATAATGCAGCCATTTAGCACATGCTACTTACTCACCAGTCTAAGGCCCGTATCGTCAGTCGTTCCTACAATTGTAGAACGGCTTTATGGCCTCCTTGATGGTCATACGTCATACTCCTTTCTCTCCTTCAAAAATTTATAGGTTGCATCTGTTCTGTGTCAGCGTCGGCACTATCCTATTGTGAAGACGTTTTCTTTTTAAATTGTAGGAAATTTCAGGCTAATAAAAGATGATATAAATCAAAAGCACGCACAATTTGATGCTAATAGATATTTGTGAGATAACCTCAAAATAGAGCGCTGACACGGAAAAGTAGAAAACTACGACAATCAAGGAGCCCATAAGGGCATCATACAATTGTAGAAATGACTGACGATACGGGCCTAAATCAGGCCTAAACATAATTGTACCTTCAGTTTGCGTGCTAACTTTATAAACAGTTCAGCGCATTTCAGTATGGAATAATTTTTTTATAAACTTTAGGGCTCATTTGTGACGCTGTGAAAATTTCAGCTCTAAATATGTATATGTATAAAAATTGTTTTCTTCGTAACAAAAGGTGATAGACTCATCCGCTTTGTTTTAAAATCTGCACAATAACGTATGTTTTTCGAATGTCGTAGAGGATCTGTTCAGTTACTTACATATATACTAAAGGCTTGAATTTGTTTAGAAGAAACAAAGTAACCCTTCGTGGCTTTTGATTTACGTCGGCAAGGTAAATTCGTGTATTTTGCTATAAAATGCCCTTTGAATGAAACCTGTATATTGCTCAGTAAACTAGAAGTGATGGCCGGAAGACAGGTGTTTAGGGATAAACAATTAAAAATTTGCAAAAACTACTTGACCGATCGACTCCAATTTTGTTGTGGTTATTTAGAAGTATGAAGCCTACGGATTTTAAGAATTTCAAGTAGCTACGTGAAACCATCGTCGCATTACCAAGATACATTTTGTCTCGATTTTCGGCCATAACCGTTTTACTATTAGTCGGATCATTTTATGTGTGGTCTCATTTTCTAGGTCTCATAAATACATAAAAATCTTATTTAAAGAGTATTTTCATTCTTGCCAACACTTTCAATTGAATTCCAATAAACAAATTATAGAATAAAAAGTTTTCCCACAAAAATTGGTGTATCCATTTTA